TCTGGCTCACCCTCCGATGCTGCAAACGACATCCGATCGTCGGGGGGAGCGTCGAAAGAAACAGGTGGTACCCCCCGGGAGGGTCCAACTTGCTCTTTTTGAGAGCTCCGCTGGTTTTGAAGTGCCAGAGGGCTTGGGCATCCCCGGAGGGGAATTCCTCACCGTGACCGTAAGACCAGTCCGCCCACCGCCATAAAAGGACGCCCCCGGCTGCCACCAGAGGGAACCCCAGATCTAGGCAGTGGCACGGGCACTCCGCCCCCTTGCAGGTAATGGAGTCCGGTCCGCAACGCCGAGATGGTCATACCCCCGCAATGGGAGCATGAACCATCCACGAAAGCCACCTCAGCGTGCTTCATGCCCAGGCACGAGAGGCAGCGATCGTGACCATCACCCAGCGCCAGGTAACGACCGCATCCAGAATGCCCGGGTGATACGTTGTCTATAGCAAGACCCACATCGTCTTTATAAAGACGTAACGTCAAGTTTGCCAAGCAACGTCGTCTTTAAAAAGACGCACCCGAAATTGCTCTTTTAGGGGAAAAAGCTCTTTTAGCGTGCTGAGGCGCACAGGGGAGATGATCATCTGCAACACAAACAGGGGGTAGTGCAGCCTGATGTGTGCAACCCACTCGACACGGGAAACCACCACCGCTGAAGCGCCGTCCACCAACACGAAGAGCTCTCCAAGAGCGCGCTGAACTCGTTCAGTCTTCTTCTCTAAGTAGAGTAGTCAGGAGCGGAACGATGTGATCGCTCGGCTCCGAAGCGAAAAGCTGAATATGCGCTGCACCTGCTGCCTACTTATACTCAAGCTGTGATCAGCAGCAGCTGGATGCAATAATCGCATGCCAATGTGCATTGGCTCGTTTAGTTTACACTCAAAGTAGATTGGTCCCTCTAAGCGAGATCCCAATTCGTCGGTCCTCCGACGTGACGTCGAGAGCGACCGACTGAGAGGGAAAGAGATATAGCAAAAGAGAACAGGAAAAGAGGTACTGGCATGTGGCCTTGGTGCTGCCAGCCTGTCTGTGCTGTCAGCAGCTGAGTCACAAATCTGTTTTTTAAAAGATTACTGTCTAGAAAACACAAACAACGACTGTCTTTCCCAGGACTACAAACACTAACTCTCTGCATGAGCAGCTCTGCAACCCCTCTCAAGAGACTTCAGGTAATCCATAGCGGGAACAAATGCAATGCAACTGACCTAAACAAAATGAGATTATGTTGGCAGTATCAGAAATATAAGATGAATTTCAGGGGTATGAACTTCTGAAGAATTTTGAAAGGACTTATGTAATGTGTCAAATTATATTCGCTGGAATGTACACTACCATTCAAAGTTTAGGGTCAGTATGATTTCTTTTTAAAAGAAATTAATAATGTTATTCAGCAGGGATGCTGAATTGATCAAAAGAGACAGTAAAGACATTCTTATCAATATTTATATTTCAAATAAACTGTTGTTTTGAACCTTCTATTCATCAGCGAATCCTAAAAAATGTATCAGGGTATCCAAAATATTAAGCAGCACAACTATTTTTAACATTGATAATAAAAAGAAATGTTTCTTGAGCAGCAAATCAGAATATTAGAATGATTTCTGAAGGATCATGTGATGTTAATGCAGTAATGGCTGTAACGGCAGTAATGACTGATAAAAATTCAGCTTTACCATGTGAATTAATTTTCGGAAATTTCAGTGCATCTCTAATTATTGGTGACATTAGAAATGGATATTATATAATAGCTGCTTTTTTGAACATTTTAGCAATTTAAAAATATTAAAAAATGATTTTTTACACGGCACCCCTGCTCTCGACAGACGCGGCACCCCAGTTGGGAAACACTGCTCTAATAAAAATGAAATACACTAGGGATGCACCGATATGAAAATTTGTCTGCGCAATGCGACCTGATGCAGCCACTGAAGTGAGACACAGGAAACAGAAATACTGCAAAATAATAATAATAACGCGACTAAACGAGATGAAATAACGTTATAACATTTAGTTTCGTCTCGTTTTTGTCAATGAAAATGAAGAGACATTTTAGCATAGTTTTTATTTTGTAAACCACATTTAGTCCCTTTTTTTATTCGTCAACAATATTGAATTATACATTTAATTATAGTCATCGTCACATGACCAGCATTTACGTTTTCGTCACGTGATAAAAGTTCGTTGACGACGATATTTAGTCATAATTTTCGTTGACGAAAGCAACACTAGGCAGAACTTTATTTTACCCATTGGGAAATGACTGGACCATGTAATCTGGACATTCAGTACTTGAATAAAGACACATCTGAGTGTGTTGAGTTTAAAACATCAAACTTGGACATACCGTCATCTTTGCTTCCTCTGTCCGGAAACTCTAGACCTGTGTTGCCCAAAGGCGGCAAGCCCAGATCTGTAGGCAGATGTAGGCCACTCGTGTTGTCCTCTGTCAGCTGATATATCTGCCTCTGCATTGGCTGCAAATGCCAGTTGAGTCCAAAGAGGTGCATGGCTGCGGAGAAAGAGCAGCGGCAGATGGTAAATTTACGTGAGCTGGAGCAGTGATTACTGAGCATGTGCCTTGATGTACATTATTGTAATTAAATTAGATTCACTAAGGAATACTATAGACACTGCATCAGAAAATTAACATCCTGAAGGCTGTGGGGTAATTAAACCAAGGCTGTATGAAAACAAATGTGTTTTGACTTGATTAATCTTTGGCAGTTTAAGAGTGCTAAAAGAACCACAGCCCATTGCATCTTAATATGCAAGTATGACGTCATTGCTGTTGTGGATTTTCCAATGGACACTCTTTCTTATCAATGAGATTTTCTAACTTAAATATTGTTGAATTTAATATTGTTGAAAGAGCATTTATTTGATCAACTACAGTAAAAAGTAATACAATGAAATAGTATTACAATTTAAATTAAATGTTTTCTTTTTTCTATTTAACATATTTTTAAAAATGTATTTTATTCCTGTGATGACAAAGCTGAATTTTTAGCATCATTACTCCAGTCTTTAGTTTCACATGACCTATGATCATTCTAATATTCAGATTTGGTGCTCAAGAAGCAATTCTTATTTTTATCATCAATGTTGAAAAGAGTTGTAGCTGCTTAATATGTTTGTGTAAACAGTGATACACTACCATTCAAATGTTTTGGGTAAGATAAAAAAAGAAGAAATTAATTATTTTATTCAAACAAACAATAATGAGAACCATTATTAATAATTAGACATAATAATAATTGAGCTCTAATCAGCATATTAGAATGTTTCTGTAATCAATGTTGAAAAGAGTTGTAGCTGCTTAATATGTTTGTGTAAACAGTGATACACTACCATTCAAATGTTTTGGGTAAGATAAAAAAAAGAAGAAATTAATTATTTTATTCAAACAAACAATAATGAGAACCATTATTAATAATTAGACATAATAATAATTGAGCTCTAATCAGCATATTAGAATGTTTCTGTGACTAAAGACTGGAGTAATGACTGCTAAAAATCTATCTTTGCCACAACAAGAATAAATTACATTTTATATTAAAACAGAAAAAAGTTATTTCAAATTGCAATAATATTTCACAATATAATAAGAGCATACAAGACTTGTTCAAACACATATTCACTATTAACTAAGAGTTTTCCCTCAATAAACCTCGATAGTAGTTATGTTTAGGTATTGGGTAGGGTTAAGGGATATACAGTAGAATATGGTCATGCATTAATATGTGCTTTATATGCTTTTATAGTGAATAGTGTTCCCTAATATAAGGGTCCGTTTACACGACAACTTTTCAGCCAATTTATGGGGACTGAAAACGCATATTTTTGAAAACGGGTTTTAAAGTGCAATTTTTGAAAACGCCACCGTTATTGTTTCCGTGTAAACACCCAAAATGGGAATCCTTGAAAACGGTGACCTCATGTGCATGCGTAGTATGTGTCAGGTAAGTAGACATGTGCGGTATGTGTCGATTTTAAAGGCAAGTGCGAAAAACATACACAACAATGGCGGAGTACATGGTACTGTTGTTGCTGTTCAAGAGTTTGCAAATGCTTCTTCAGCAAAGTGTGGATTTACTTCACCAATATTACAACCAACAGCGGAGACGCATCATATACAACATATAATCGTCACTTCCTTACAGGTACTGTTTACTAACAAGGTGACTGTGCCAACTACTGTCCTGGCATACGTAATACAGCGTTCTTGGCCGTTTTACGCAGATATGTGTAAATGCAAATCGTTTTGAAAACGTTGTCGTGTATACGTGAAACTTTTTAAAAACGCAAGGGAAAAACATTTCCGTTTTTGACTACATTGTTCTCGTGTAAACGTAGCCTAAAGTGCTATCTAACGTGTAAAATGTTCATTATTCCAAACTTTTGACTAGTAGTGTATATACATTTCTTTAAGGCACTATGAAAACAACAAAGTGGGGGGAGGGGGACATCCCCCCACCCTTGGAGAAAAATGTTGTACAACCCACAGAGAGAAAAGCCAGAGCCCACAGGGCAACTTTTCTTTTCATGCCCATTAGCTTACTAACACCCCCCGAGGCTAAACAGACAAAGAAATGATCAAGTCAGCAAGAACACAACAAGAGGTACGGATGAATGCATGAACAGCACCAGAAGACACGGTGATATTTCACAAGGTCAACAAAAGAAGCAACCATTGGGATGAACTCTGATGGCAAAGTGAACAGGGAAGGAAGGGCCAGGCATGATGGATCACCAGGATGAGAATGGTCAGGACCAGCTTAGCCAGGCAAAACCTTGTCCTGGAAGTCTTCAGTCAGCAGATAAAATGCCAACAAAAGGCCTTGGAGCTCTTTCTTGCACAGAATGGAAGTTCAAAGCACAGGTTGTAAATAACCAAAGAATGTAATTAAGATTGTGATGCTAGAATATAGGCTACAGTATGGGAATTTGTTAAATGTTAGCATGTAGCAAAATTCCTTAAAAAAACATTATTACTCAATACTGTGGTTCACTTGTGCTATTAAATGATTCAGAGCATAGGCCTATATGATATAGCAAAATTTGCTCTACTATTGGCTGGACTATTTTGTAAGTTAAAAAGTGAAGAAGAAAAGCAAGCTTCAAAAATAGTATAGCATCCAGGCACTAATATCATACTAATACTATCATACTAATATCAACACACCATAAGGGATGAGATTTTCTTACTGTAGTACTGATAGTATGCATATTGGGATGCAGCCACAGTATGTAAGATAACGGCTGTCGACACAAACTATGGTGGACTACGGCGATGTCGGAGTAGATAAAACAAATTATCTTTAGCCTTGTCTTTTTCTAATGCTCCATTTCTCTTCCTACGTGAGTTCCCGTTTCTCCTTCACAAGTACAGAGCTGGTTTCAAATTGCACAAGTGGCTTTCTCTGTCACACTCTCTTGACAACCTGTAGTGACAATTCAGAGCTAATATTACTTCTCCGCTCCACTCAATGGAGAGGTGACAATGTATTTGTTTTGTGTAGCGGCAAATATCTCGTCTCAATCAGGGTGAGAAAAGGTCTAAATGAATGATTTATTCTTCTGTCAAAACATTTGTGAAAGAAACATATAGCTGGCATAATTACCAGACCTCTACTCAATCTTGATTTTTGTGTGACGGAACACTAAAACTTTTCAGCAGATTCTTTAAAAAAAAAAAAGTGAGGAAACTTTAACACTGTCACCTCAATTTAGGTGTCTACAAGACACTAAGACAATGCTAATAATCACACACCCTGTTAAGTAACATTGACTATCATGCTCTTTATAGGTATGTAAAGTGCTGTGTTAAAATCCAAGTCCAACCGGAAGAATCAGGACATGTCTGGCACCGGACTCCAGACTGACACTAGAAACAAAACAATTCATGTATTCCATATTTATCATCATACAAATCATAAACTGTTTCATGCAATTTCATGGTGTTGGGTGTTGTTGTAGGTTGTTGAAGGATCTTTTATTTCAAAATAAAACCATACATACAGTATGAGCATAACTAGAAACAGAAAAAAGTAGAAGTAGTGGAGGTACTTTGCTCATTCGTGTTGGTTGTTTGGGGGGGGTTACACCAGTTTCATCATTAATAATGATACTAAGAGAGCAATGCCTCACTGAGTAGGGGTTGATTGGATGGAGTTGTGTTTACAGAGGGAAAGATGTGCCTGAATTCATTTGCAAAGAAAAACAAAGAGCTTTGTCTAATTGCTTCTTTGGGCCTTTGGTTGGATATCATTTGTCCTGCTTTACATGTTGTAAAATCAATGATCCTTAAGATTCTGCAAAGATGTGCTTGCCCTAGCTTAACCGGAACCTTCAAATTGGGAGTATTAAAAGCCCAGCGCACCTCTCACAGACTGCGGATCAAACTAGTCGTGACAAATGGAGAGTTCTGCTTCACATCCCTTTGCATGTTTTGCCATTAATTAAAGCCATATTACGTGGTAACCACTCTACATTTACTAAATGGTGAAAATGTGGCCTGAAAAACGATGAAGCCTTTGACAGGCGTTGCTACGGTGGATGAGAGTTGCCATCCTCTGGCTTACTCAATCAATAGCCATTTGGAAAATTGCAGGCCGTGCATTTTCTTGATTGCATTCCGACAGATTCGGGCATTCCTGAAGAAAGGTCTGAATGTTGCTGTTACTTTTGCAAGAGTGCATTTGTGGAGGCGATAAAAAGTCGTGGCTGTCTTGAGAGACAATATAAATGCAAACGACTGGGTGCCTCCGCCCCCATCAGTACCGCTGGAATTGACTATGTCAAAGACGGACAGACACGCTACGAGACAGATGGCTTGGTTTGTCATCACCCAAGATCGAGTAAGGCATTCCTCTAGCTCGCTCTCTTTTTCTGCTGCACATTAGTTGATTTGTGGCTCTGTGCGAGGAAGCGGAGAGTGCAGACGGCGCATGGGCAGTGGGGGTGGACAATCGAATCAAAGGCATCATGGGTCTAGGTGTCAAGTAATTGCTCCTTCAAGGGGCCCATCTTCCATCTGGACCCCTTTGCAACTTCTCCTGTCTAGCTCTGATGTAAAATGCCTCACACACTTCCCGGCTACCCCCCACTACCAAACCTCATTATGATTTATGCCCGAGCTGTCCCGGAATCTATGATTTCCAGAGTGCGTTGGGAAGAGTCCAGCTTATGAAATATGTTTCTCCGACTAGCCCAAACTCTTCCATCATCCAAACTCACTCTCACTCTCTCTCTCTCTCTCTCTCTCTCTCTCTCTCTCTCTCTCTCTGAGCTGTCAGACAGGCTCCCTGAGTAAGGAGCAAAGCAGGGACAGGTGGAAACGGTCTAAGCTGGGTGTTTTTTTAATGAGTGACCCGCTGGAACGGCAAGTGGAATGACCCCACGACCTGTTGAGTGTAAAATGGCAGCCATGCTGAAATGCAAGCCTGGACGCACACAACGTCCCTGCAATCTCTGCTTTGGCAGGCCACTTTGGCAGATCCGTGCAAGCCAATTAGAAAGCAGAAAGCTTGAAAAAACTACTGCTTCAGTCTGGGAGGAACACAAGCTCATTACTGCTCCACTTCTGTGATTCAAGCCTTTGAAACATCTCCTGAGAAACAGACAACAACAAAATACACTATCTATCCCACATTTACCTCCAACAAAAACAGCTTTATCCCATGACAAAAAAAGAGGACAATGCTGGGATCTGGGGGCAGAGTACTCATGGGTTGAAAAATGCCATTTCTTGCTCATCTGTCATAGAATGGACAGGGCGCATTAGCAAGCATATGGTTAATTAATTCCCCTTAGACACTTAAATGGATGAGCGTTGAACAAGGCAGCTCTCAGTCCTCTCATTAGCTGTCTAATTACTCCGACACACCTCCTGCCGGGATCCTGGTGCACAAGATGTTTGGCACTTTTGGGCAGCCATCTCATATTCGACTATGCAATCTTGACTATGAAAGAAAGGCTGATGTGAAGGTGCCAATCACCAATTTTACAAATGGAAGTAAAACAAAGAAGATGACAGGTTTGATCAATGCCCTTGTTTTAGACTACTTCATTTAGTGAAGAGTTTGCTCTTGACTGAAGGAATATGTTTATTTTTTTATAGTTTATCTTTAAGGTCTTTGTTACTCGCGGCTTTCTTTAAGCACACATGGATTTTAAGCCCTTAAAAAAGACAAGTAGGTGTCAAATCAATCAGCAGACAAACCAGTGAGACCTTGGAGAGCACTCTTGAGTGTTAAGTTTCCCCAGTCACGAGTGCCTCATCTTTTCACAAAAACTCCCAGTGGAACTTCCTCTTTTCTATGTGCCCTCCTCTGGTCATACTTCAAGTTCAGACTGTTGACTATAAATGAGAGGCAGTGAAAAGCACATCATCAGCAAGTTAGTAGATCAAAAAGTCTTAAGCCATTTTTTACTTTCACAGTGAAGCTTAGAGGAATCTGTCTGGAGTGAGTAATATCCCTACTCTGGTAAGAGTGCGTATAAAGTCTGGCCACAGAGAATGCACTTTCCCAGAATGCCTTGATAAAACAGCTTCGTTTCGGCAGGCAGATACTATAGCAACCTGCCAATTTACAAGGCGGTTTTTGGTCCAAAGTGATGCTATGCAAATTGCAAAGAAAGTTTCCCTGGGGTGACCTGGTGCTAAGTGTCATGCTCAAGGGTACCATGGTGACAGAACAGAATTGTGACCTAACTTTCCAGTTGCAAAGTCTTCCACATTTAGGTTAAAGTCTCCTCATAATGTAGGCTACCACAAGCCGAAACTTCACTGTGACACAAACCCACAACCCGTATAAGACCTATAAACATCACCAGTCATTTCAACCCCAGAACATCCAATCCCTTGACAATCCGACAAAAATACATTTAGCTGAAGGTAAACCTGAAAATACATTGAGCTGATTGTAATAATGAAGAAACAAAGAGACAGAAAACAAAAGACTGGAGGTCCAAAGTCAGTCGACAGTTGGAGTGAGTGTCTTGTGGCTATGACTGAGGTTGCATGTTGGGCGGTACAATGAGGACCCAGCACGCTAAGAAATGAACACAGAGGGAAACTGATGACCTTCAGATGCCGAGGACATAATGACCTTCTTAATGAGCATGCCACCACTGAGAAAATGGCACACCACTCCCAGTTCTGCGATCTCACTCCTTTCATGGAAGCGATTCTTGCAAACTCCACAGAAAAAAAGAATAGGGGTAAATGGCAAAACTATGCAGCAAGTCAAAAACATCTGTCGGAAAGTTTAATTGGGTTCATTAGACAACACAGCTAGAGTTTCCAATTACAGGCCTACATAATTAATTGCACTTGAAATTAAATATATTTTCTCATCAGCTTTTAATTAAACGTGACCCCTTGTTGTTGATTGAATCCCAGATTCTCAGGGTGAGCTACGGTTTCATGCGTGTTTACCTGAGGTGCACAGGGAGATGAGCTTGATTTTGGAAGAGGGTTAGGATGGGGTGGGGTGTCTGTAATTATATTAAGTGATTAAGATACATTGGCTTGGTGGGCTTTGCAGGGCTCCTAACAAGGTCAGAGCTTAACTAGCCACCTAGCTAACACAGAGAATAACTTCATTAAGCACAGTGCTTAGGCATTTAATGTAGACAACAGTATCTAGATTTGTTCCAAAAAGTGAGCTGCTGCCTACTAGGCATTCACCTATTAAGACACCACTTAAAAGTATTTTCAGGATAGAAAACAAATGCTCTACATAGACAGCAATTCTGCATGGCACACATATAGAGCTTCTTGCAGGAAGCACATAGGAGACATAACTCACAATTGCAGCAATAACCTAACAAGCGTAAAACACACTGCAAACTTGCAATGCCTTCTACCTAAAAATTGAGCATAATGACGCATCTTTGAAAAGCATTTTACATAGGCAGCTATTAAGGTTAGTCGCATGCACCACATATAGTGTGCAAAGCACCCAAGAGTACCTTAAAATAGAGTTTTGAACAAAGCTGAGCAATTAGTATTATCAGCTAACAGTATTTTAATGTAGATTCCAAATCACTGTACAGAATCACAGGATAGCAATTGTTTTTTTTAATCAAAAATAGATGACTGGATGGATGAGAGTTCATTTCAGTTCTTTTACACTGAATTTTTTGTTCTCAGTACCTAATCTGTGGAAAGCTGTTAGTCTGTAATAATGAAGACACATCTGTGAGATCTCCATTTGGATGCACCTTGTGCAAATGACTTTTTCCCTATATTTTCAACTTAAAAAAAATATTATTTCATTCTGTGGGCTCTGTGTGAGATTACACGTACCAATTCCCATTCTAAGCAGACACACATTATGCAAACCCATTTCATGCTGTTCTCTAAAATATATTGGGTTATATAAAACATTATTGTTATTATTGATTTACTCTTTAAGGTATGGACACACTTTATTTGGAACTGCTAGACTAGCTCTCATCTTCTTACATGTACATTGGATTTTCCACTTCTTTCATGGGATTATATGAAACATATAACAGAATTACTAGCAGACCTAGTAACATTCCGCACCCCAGTAAAGTTCAGGTATGTCTGTAGTAAATGTTCAGACTAATACAGTTCAGAACTAATACAGCTGTAATAAATCATGGACAGTTAATGATTCTATGTAGTCTCTGTTTAAATCCAGAAATGTTAACCAAATGGGAAAAATCAAATCACACCAAGCATGAACTGTTGATATGGCTGAATCATATCTCACTTTATCTGTTGTCCATTATTGATTTGGTTCACTGACCAAGCTGAATACAGTTGTGGGACACTGAAAGCAAATGATTGAAAAGTGAATCAACTACAGCATCTTTTTGTGACGGTACTCTGGCACAATGTGGAAACAGATCAAATTCAACACAAAAGTCATAACCAAAAAATAAACACATAAGTCATCTCTTGTATGTCACACCTTTGAGGGAATATGAGAATGCAGAGGTGTGAACTTACCAATAAAATATGCCAACAGGAACACCAGGGTGACAGAGATGAGGATGGCACTAAGGGCGGCACATTTCCAGTTGCAGTGCTTATAGGGTTTCTTCAGGCTAAAGGCAGGCCGTGAGAAGGTGTTCCGCGGCAGGGGCCGGGGAGGGGGAGAATAGACAGTGCTGGATGTCAAAGGGTAGCCAGGTGAAGTCGTGCAGTACAAGGGCGAAGTCCCACCAGGCTTGAACAGAAAGTGTCTGCAGAGACACAGAAAACGTTATTGCTTATGTTCACAAAAATAGGACGTTAGAGAGCACTGTGTGGTAAGTGTTTTCTCATCATGTTAAACAATATCTGTAGAGTGTGTAGGCTTGAGTCCCTGCACTGGTCAGTACTGCTGTCACTAAGCACTTTTCCAAGCTGTTGCCATGAGCAGTGGCAGCAAGACACACTGTGCCCCGTGGGGTGCATTATATCAGAATTTTGAATCAATATCAAATTTAATTTACAGCGCGAGTGACCACAGTGAATTCTTGTTAATACAAAGCCCTCATAGTGACTAATTCACCCTAAGAGTGCGTGTGTCAAGAAGCTGTGGGATTATGCAGGATGTACATTATCACGACAGCTTATTCACTGTGGATGGCGTAATCTACGGTGAAGTCATTGACTTTGAATGTGCTGTCAAGCTGTACTGACCGGACAAGGGGAAACAAAGAATGTTAGCCTACTGAGGTACAAGAAAACAGAACAACAGACTTGCAAAAAATCTTAAGCCTTGTGCACACTACAGAACAGAAGCTTGTCATGTTGGCACATTGCTATGTGCTAAAATTTGTACCAGGTTTTAAATTGGTTTCGGGACTGTAGCTAGCAATGCAAATAAAAATTATCTTGTGAATTGCCCATATCTGTCAGAGCCATAGCCTCATGTGTAGCGCTCCAGAGTTCAATTCCTGGCTCAATATTATTTTTTCCTGATCCCATCCCCAACTCTCATCCCTAGTTGTTCCCATCTCTCCTTCACTGTCCTGTCATAATAAAATTCCTCTAACAATAACTTTTAAAAAGACTTTCTCTGATTACTAGCATTAAGTTTGTAACTTAAATGTCAAAAACGTGGAAGTAAAAAAAAAAAAAAACTATCAGGCTGACTCACTAACAACTGTGCTTGCCATAGATGCTGTCTAAAATCTGTGATTTCTATCAAGGTAACAGGGTTCAGTCTTGTAGTGTGCAATAAAGGACTTATGAACAGTTCCTTAGAGAAGAATGCTAATGCATTCAGGGTTAATTAGAAAAGTTGTTAGTTTGTGTTCAGAAATAATTATGGTTAAAAAACCATGCAATTCATACAGTAAGTGATGCAACGTGTTAGATTTTGTCACAAATGTCACTATGTAATGAGAAACAAGTGTCCACAGGTACCACTATGCAGCATGGCAAAGCAGATCCCAGCAGCCACGGTCAGATCATGCAACATACCCATCAGTACAAGCGCCGTCGCGGCGAGCTGTGGCCAGTATGTCCATCTCTATAAAGTTGTCCTGTAAAGTCTCTAGGAATGTCTGCTTTGCTATGTTTCTACACACAGGTGGAGAGATGGACAGATGGAACGAGAGTGAGACATGCGTTGAAGAGGGAGACAGATGTGCAAACACAAAAATGTGATCACCCGGCAAATTTCTGTAAATGGACAGAGTGGAGAGGCCGACAAAGACAAACAAACTCTAATTTCCAATGACAGAGTGCTGGTGCCAGATCCGGAGCCCAATTTGGAACCGTTTCATGTATTTCAACTGCAGTAAAAGCAGTGTTCAGGGGGGAAAAAAAAAACTCTAAACCAATAGTTCTTAAACAATTTACTGACAACATCATAGAACAGAGGGCGAGAGAATCTTCACATTAAATTATATTTTTAAACAACAACTCAGTCTGGCAAGACTGATGTGAAACAAAACTAGATCAAACAAAAAGTAGATCTTTACCATTATCTTCTTACAAAGCTGTTTATACTGGAAACACCCATTGCAATGTGTTTAACTAAACAACAGTTCGTTCCCAACTTCTAATCTAGCTGGCAGAGTTACAAGAGTTCTGATGTTTTGTATAACAGCACAAGAGCGTATCCCAGCATGTGGGAAAGCAGTTAAATTGTTTTGGAAAGGTGTGAGAAAGTGATGTGCTGTGATTTAAGTAACAGCCAATTATGAAAACGTCTCTCCAGCAGTTTAATTTTGGGTCGGTTTTGAAAGAGGTCCGCGGGTCCCATAGCTCTTCACCAGCATCAGCACCATTTCGGTGAAAGTGGGGGAACAGAGACATCCTTATGGAACTAAAGTGCTGTGTGGGGGGCTTTATCCCCGTGAAACCCGGCACGCCCCACCAGAGAGCACTCGTGCTCTTTTACCACACATGTACCTTGTGTTGTATGACCCATGCCCCTCTCTGCAAGCGTCCTGTTCTTCTCTGATAAACATTAGAGTATTCTGGCTCCTTTATGATTGTGGTTAAAAGAAAACAAGGCATTACTTTTCCATTCACTTCTTCATATTCTTTGTGTTTAATGGGCTGACACAACACTATTCAGATGAATCACACATTATACTGACAGAATTCCCAAGTGGTTACTCTAAATCCTGCTTTAAGATTTTTTTGTGCAGTTTTTAAATAATAAATGGTTTCATAAAGCAGAGGTTTATTAACATTCAGAGAGGAACTCCGTGTGCATTCAGTGAAGCATGTCTGCTGTAGCTCCGTGCCCCCTGAGACGGCTGTTCCATAAGTGGAGACTGAGATAATGCAATGGAGAAATTAACCGTCGACATGCATTGGGCAGACGCAACACCTTCAATTCAACAAGAGAAAATGTTTGCTTTCTTTTCTTCAGAGCTGTTCCAGACTGCTCTACCGATTGTCTTTGGCTGGCTTATGTACATTTGTTGGCTTGTTCGAGCATTGGGAGGCAAATTAAAGTTTTAAACGAAGACAACAAGGGCCCAGAGGCCGGTTTGGAGGAGTCAGAGAAGAAAACATAAAAGCAGCCAATAAAAGAATGGCATTGCCTGGCTCTCGTCCAATAGGAGGGTAAGCCTATATATCCAGGGACTCATCCAACTCATTCCAGCCCGCTGTACAAGAGTTGTGAGAGGGAACCATTACAAAGCCATTAGCTAAAGCCTAAATGACAGGCCATCTTTCACTGCCCTTGTGGATATTGCTAATGGTTCCAATTTCATCAGAGGGATTCGGATAATTGATCGCTCCTTTTTTAGATAGGAGGGAGCTGTGGAGGGTGGGGTGTTTCCGCCACTCTTCTTATGCCGCAGATCGGCTGGCATGACCATCTGTTTCCCTCTCCCGTGGGAATACCTGGTCCAGATTAAAGTTTGGGGAAATCCATGATGTTTAATCAGTCATTATGTTGCTAACTGTCCCTCAGCAAATTCAAATTAACATTCATTTTCCTGTTGAGTGGACCGTTCACACCCATGCTGGTCACAAACGCATCAAGACGACAAAGAAACAGAGAGTTTTCAAGCAAGTGTCCTAGTGTTTATGCTTATTAGTAAATAATACAATTGTTAGGATTCTTTCAACAATTATGTGGATTGGAGCAGTGGTTATAATGGTCTACGCTAAGATAAGGGACCATGCATTTAAGAGTTAAGTATAAGTTCAGCCTGCAATGTTTTTTGATCCTACCTCTACCATAATTTCTTGCTACTCTCCATTATAACTATCCAAATGAAGCACAGAAAAGAAAGGTGTGGGTTATATAGTATTTCACTACAAAATTATATACACATTTATACATATACATTTTGTTTTTAAGTATGAACTCAAGGAAGCTCAGTTTAGGATCATTTGGGAAAAATCGCATGTATCAAGAAAATATCATGCTCATTTACTGTAATAAAGTATAATGAAACAATCTTGTGCAAGACACAATTTTGCTTGCTTTCATTCTTAATCAAATTCAACATTCATATATATATATATATATTATATATATTTTTTTTTAATGTATAATAATATACATAATGTGTTACATAAGCATCAAAAAGCTAAAAAAAATTATAATTGTATTTTTTTTTTTCTTTGAGAATCTTGAGATTTACATATCGTATAAAACTAGTTAAGAGGACCCCCCCCCCACACACACACACAAAACCTTACTTTAACTCTGCAATCCCAACAATAAATCATTACAGTTTTGAGATTTGAGACCTGTGATATACAGATGCTCCTAGCACAAAGTCAGAAAAAGCTAAAACTTTTACAGCAGCTGAAATAAATATGAGCCATTTGGGTCGGCTGGGTTGAGCACTGCAGGAGGTGGAGGTAATCTGAGTATCAGTATGTATAATTTCTCTTCAGGCTGGTCTGACAGCGCTGATTTGCCTCCGCCATGCATGAGAAGCAGCCCGAGCAATGCAAACAGACATCTGAGAGGTTCTTGACTGATCTCCTCCACACAAGTGCCTCAGATAGAAGCAAACACAGCAAGGGCTGATGGGAGATTAAAAAAAAAGGAGCTGAGTTTGTAGCAAAGCCTCCTTCGGAACCTTGAGAGAATTCGCCCATCTATTGCATTTGGGCTTGAGATATTAGATCAGCAACACTGCCCGGAAAGCCCAGAAAAAAACAACACTTTTCTCTTGTTGTATATTTAGTCATGTTTTAAATGCATTCTGGCCTGATGCAGGAATTTATGTAAAAACGGAGCCGCATGAAACTTCTGTGTAACAGACCGTAAAGCTTAATTTAATTCTCAATTCAGCAAAATATTTCAGCAAGGTCATTCCTACTATCAGCACATTTTTATGTCCAATCATACTGCATTTTTATGTAATAAATATTGGGGAATAAAGCTAGAAATTAAAAACTGGCAATTTAATTAATTAATATAAATTATATTATTTAGAATTTATTTATAATAAAATTTTCCAATATTGCTTTCCAGCCTGTTAGTCTTTTGTAAAATCCCTTGAACCTAAAAGCCTGTTGCTTAATGACATCGATCTCAGGAAATTACCATTTTTGGCGGGAAACCTATTATATATTAAAAATCTGTTCTACTATATAAAATATTAGACGTGTATAATAACATAAACATTTCAAAATACTGTAAAAATATAAATAATAACTTCAATCGGACACCTCAAGTAAGCTAACTGGCTAATTTTGACTCTTTATTTCCTCTTAGGTTCCATTTTGTTAACTGTTTCAATATCATGTTATGAGTTTATGAGCTTAAAATTGACCAGAGCACTTTGAAAGTCTGGTATATTGTTTTTACATAAATACTTAATTAAATTACAACACATGCATGTACAATTTATTTAAAAATCTGAGACATCTAAAGGTACTGCATAACAGGAAGGACCCTTTACACTATATTGTGTGTCAAGTAGAGTTAAAAGGCTACATAAATACTCATTAAGTATTAACAGTGTAGTTGATCTTTTAAACAGATGCAAACAGTGTAAAACGCTTCATGCAGCCAGCATATGCATGCCTTACGATGCATTATAAATGCCTAATTCAGAGTCACTCAATTCTATTTGACTATTTCATTAGCCATTGTACCACGAGAACATCACAGCCCCAAATGTACCTGGTCTCTAGAGGAACGTTGCTGTTGAGAAGCCAGTTGTCCTGGGCACTGCCTGAGTCCTGGGCACTTGTGGGACCCTCATTGAGAGCCGAGCTATCGGTGGGCGCCGGGCTCGGGTTGCTGCGCTGGGTGTAGTTGCTGCGGCTCAGAGAGCCAATGGAGGCGGCGTGGTGTTGACTAGGGGAGTGGGAGTGCGACAGGGGCAGCGGAGGCGTCCGCAATCGAGAGTGGTTCTGGAACGAGACCTCTGAAAAGAGAAAAACAGCCTTATCAGCAACTAAATAAATAAAATTACTGCAGTGTTCATTAGCATGTGGTGTACATACATTTATTTGTAACGCATTTCTGATACTGGGCAAGTAAACAAGTCGATTTATTGGAAATGGCATAGTCAACTACTAAGGCAGCAGTTCCCAAACTGTCTTCTGGGGGCACGCAAGAAAATGTCAGTAATGGCAGAATACTGCAGGAAATCCTGCCAGCAGCTGCTCAAGCAACATAGCACAAAATTATCGTTCATGTCATCTTATTAATTCCTTAATAAGTCTTTCCCCTCACTCCAGTCAGTCTTTTGTAAAATCCCTTTAGCTAAAAAAAAAAGTGTGTCGTTTAATGACAACGTCCTCCAGGAAGTGACATAATTTTGGCAGGAAACAACAGCACAAACATCAATAAGTATTATCCTTGGTGAATTCTGTGATGTTTAGTGTTATGACTTGGGATGTCTTACTATGAAACGACCCATCCTATTATATAAATTATCAGAAATCAGTATAAAAATATAAAAATGTCAAAACACTGTAAAAATATATAATAATAACTTTAAACTGACACCTCATGAAAGCTAACTTACTAACTTTAGCTAATTATTTCCATCCCTTTAGGTTATATTTTGTTAATTGCCTTACTATCAAATTATATTTAACAAAAATTATGAGCTTACAATTGACCAGAGCAGTTGATAAATGTGATTATATCTGTGGTATTAACATGTTACAGAGAGAAGGCTACTGGGGTAACAAGTATAACTAGACTCTTGTCAAAGAAAAGTGAAAGATAAGAAGACACCCAGCATACTACTTACTGTTCTGTGTCACATCCAAATAGGGCTCTGGCTTCTACTAACAGCTGGAATCTCACAAACACTCATCAGGCAAAACATGCTGCTGACAACCTGACATTATCAAGTAGACTGAATTACCCTCGTCGACCTGCTTGAAATTCATGCCATGATCAACTGCAGTTTGTGTGGATGGACCCGACAAGACAGTTTCAGCTTCCGAAAATGCTTATGTCTCCTAAAGCCACTTTGCATCATGGGAGATGGGGGGCTATCAGACATGAGATTGTGAGAATCAGATAGTGGCAATTCAGACGCCGATAAAGACTCATGTGTCCTTGTGCGCTCCAAAGCCATTCATTTCCATATCTGCTAAACCATTCATCAATCAATAAACTAGCGCCTCATTGCGCTAAGAACCCTTACTTAACAAGAACAAAGCAGTTTCATTTTACACCTGTCGACAACACTCAACAGCCTCTTTACTGAGAGCTTAAGCTGTTGCTAAAGGTGAGGCTAACGCACTAATGATGTTTTATTTACATTTATGAGCAACTTTCATTCATTAAAAACGTATCACTGTGTTAAAGATGTTTTTACATTTATGAACAACTTTAAAGAGGTCATATGATGCGATTTCAATTTGTCCTTTCTCTTTGGAGTGATACAAGGTATTGGTGCATAAAGTCCGGCTTCTGCTCACTCTAGCCCACTGTGTGTGACGCTGGGTTTCATTGTGAAAGCGAAACTACTTTGTTTGACCATCCAAAAGTGGACATGACTAGAAATCAGTGGTTAAATTTTATTTACAACACTGTTCAAGAACAGTTTAACTTAAATATTCAGATGTGTCCAGCGCATTTCATGGAGGACTGTTTCCTGATCCAGGAGAGTAGACTACAATGCCGGCTGTTCTGACTCACAGACTGTAAGTACGTTTTTTATATTTAAAGAATTTGCCACTGACGATTCAAAAGCAAGTTTTGAGCAGTGTAGAGTAGCGCTTGTTGTTTGTCATTTCTCCGATCACAAATGCAGACGTGGTTTTATGTTTACGTGGCGCGATGCAACGCAACACGTAAAAAGACAGTATAAGTCATTATAATCTGTAATTATGTCCCCACTGGATGCAACAAATGCCTCGTTTATAATGGGTTTTAATGTTTTTGTCTCGTCGCTCCGGCCGGACAGGGCATCATCACAGTATGATAGGGGCGTAACATTTCCATCACACTCTTGAGGTATTCGGCCAATCACAACGCACTGGATAGCTGGCCAATCACAGCACACCTCGCTTTTCAGACCGATGAGCTTTGTAAAAATCGACGCGTTTCAGAAAGGCGGGGCATAGAGGAGATGTTTTTTTAACCTTAAACCGCATAAACACATTTCATCACCAAATACCCAAAATAATGTTCTTTTTAGCAGCATCATATGACCCCTTTAATTCATGTATAGCTTATGTGCTAAAGATGTTTTACATTTATTAGTTTATAGCTTATGTGCTAAAAACCTTTTATTTACATTTATGAACAACTTTGCATTTATTTACTAAAAGTATAGCTAACATGCTAATGAAGTTTAATTACATTTAAGAAGTTTATCTTCATTTATCATCATTCCCAAATGCAGAAAGTACAGAGTCCAAAACACACTTCTGAGGCCATAATTTCACAAACTATATAGGCTATGTGAAAACTGCACATAATAAAAAATAGTTGTCAACCAAATATATAAATATACTATATGCAATATACCTGACAGATATTAAACAAATAAATACACCAGGCATATTGCAAAAATCATAGTCTTCACACAAGAAAAACAAACAAGGATTATGCATAATAATGACCGCATCCTTCACAGCGGGTTATCTGAAGTCCGACAGTAATTGTCTTTTGCTACAAAATCAAAGTGTTGATGGCTGTAGCTGCAATGCTTTTAAGGACATGAAGACAGAGATGGAACTTCTCAGAAACTGTCAGCACAATCTCTAGAAGTTGCATCTGTAAATGTATTCTTTATAAAGTACTGTCACCACAAATATTAAGTCAATCATCAGGTGCTGGACAACTAGTCGAACATCCTGACCAATCCGCATACTTTCCTTACACTTTGGATACATGCGAGTATACACATCTTTACCAATAGGTCTTACATATACAGAATCCTTTTGTGATTGCTTGTCTGAACTGACCTTCATAACCACTAACTTTACTAACTTCTATAGTAGGTACAAAGCAACATGGACAACAATGCACGGCAAAGTAATAAGAAACCCTGAATCATTCCTTACTTTTGAATACTGAAAAAAGTTGCATGCTTCGAAGGTCTTACACACACCATGCGACACAGTATGTTCTCTGTTGGAGACATGTCACCGGGGTGAAAGAATGCTAGTTCTTACATCTCTCATATGACTAAATGAGTGCTTTGCACCATGTGGTGAGTACACATTTCTACTGAAGATCATTATGGGATGCGTCACTGACAGGGACCCCGTTACTTTTTTATTCCCTTTCATTTTGGGCACAGGGCTGGATCATTTGTCAGAGCCAGTGACAGATGGGCCCGTACCAAGCTGCATTCCCACAGTCCTACGCTACCAATTACTCAGAGCTCTGTTGTGTCTCTGAGCCAAACGGATGATGGCCCTGATGAAACGTGATCAAAACAGACGGAGAGCTGGAAGAGAGGTAAACCATTTCCCTGTATTATGAAGGTACGGAACATGCGGGTGTATGACTACTATGAAAGCGATGACATTCAAAGAAGGTTAATGTCAACAAGACTTGATTAATTGGCTTGTTTGACTGTCTAAACTTCAAAAGAAAGAAAGTACTTAAATGAATTGTGTATTTTTTTATGCTTTCATTTTTTTCTCGCAATTTAAAATACAGTATGCATTAAGTCATTCATAGATTGATTTCCTAATGAATATAAAACACTGTGGCTCTTAAGATTGTAGCACTGAACAAAATTTTCTCAGTGAAAATAAATGATAAAAGTACAGCACCTCAGGTAACAACAACAACACCATAAAAACCCCATTATACATGTTATGAATTCAACAAATAGTAATAGACTACAACAAGGTTAGGCTATATGCATTACCCCATTTCTAAACACTTCACTAAATATCAAAACTCTTGTGTTGTTTTTTTTGGAACAAGTTTGTCTTAACGCAGGGTTTTTATTCCCTAAACAGCAGCCAGTAAACAGAAGTGCTGATGCAGTGTTGGAGTTTTATTTCAATTGAAAAGCACAGAAGGTAAGACTCATTCAAGTTTTTGAGACAATGAGCATAAAAAGAGGAGAAGCAATGATTCAGCAGGAACAATTCAGCACAGCCCAGAAGGACCTGTAAGAGTGGAAGGTCTTTGATTGATCTAGTTTGCACAATCCCATTCGCCAGCAAATCAGTTTGTTTTGCCATTAAAGAACAGGCAAATCAAGGAAAAGTTCTTAGGTCTCAAATGGTCTCCAAAAAAGAAGCAAAATATTGTTTTATGCATCACATTTCATAATTTTTTTACACACTTCTGAGGAAATAATTTGACAGAAAATCAAGTCCTTTTTAAAAACTTTTAGCATTTTTAATAACATAGCATTATTTTATTCTTTTTACTAATTGTATGGCTGTAATTAGAATCATCCAGAAGTATTCATAATTCAGAAAAAAAGCATTATATAAAAAAAACCCTTGTGGTTTATTTTAAGGGGGAAAAAATCACAATGCAAACAAAAACATAATGGTCTTATTTTGTTTAGGTCATGAATCCGGTCTATGAACTTCCGTTTGTTCACCACCAGAGGTCATTATCCACCACATGGACTCTCACACTACACAGACTATCACACTTACCCTGGACTTCAATTCCCACAATCCATTTCACTCTGATTACGCACACGGCTGCAGCCAATCACACACACTACATAAGCCATGGACTTCTTCTCTCTCAGGGCCCGAGTACTGTTTAGCGTTTATCACTCACCCAGCGATAGCTACTTTATGGAGCCAGTACCCTGTCATAGTTTCCAGTCTTAGTTCTAGTTTAAATCTTATCACGTCATGTTGCCTTATTGACTGTTACCTGATGTTCTGCCTGTCTTGGATTTCTCTCTTGTTTTGTAATTTGGACTCTGTTTGCCCCTTGCCTGGATTATTGCATGTTTTTGGATTACCC